AACAACAACAAAAAAAAACATAAGAATCTAGGAAATTAGTAAATTTGGCTATATGAAAATGGAAATATGTCCTTCTAGTAATCAAGAAGAAAGTCAAAAGACAAACCAAGCAAAGTATTTTCAGAACATTTGACAAAGGGCAAATCAATTTTAAAAATCAATTTAAAAAAACAAACTGTAGACTGGTAGAAAAATGGGCAACTAGCATGAGTTGGTAGTTTCCCAAAAAAACAAAATAGAAAAAGAAATATAAATACATAAGAAAATTAATTGTTCTCATCATTATTTGAGAAATGCAAATTAAATGAATTAAATAAATATAAGTTTAAATTTTTGCCAAATGTATCAAACATTAAAAAAATCTATAATATTTCATTTGGGCCAGGAGAGGTAGTTCATGCCTATAATCCTAGAACTCTGGGAGGCTAAGGTGGGTGGATTATTTGAGCTCAAGAGTTCGAGACCAGCCTGAGCAAGAGTGAGACCCTTCTCTACTCAAGTGGAAAATTAGCCACATGTGTTGGGTACCTGTAGTCCCAGCTACTAGGGAAACTGAGGCATGAGGATCACTTGAGTCTAGAAGTTTGAGGTTGCTATGAGATACGACGCCATGGCACTCAACCCCAGGGTGACAGAGTAAAACTCTCAAAAAAAAAAAAAAAAAAATATATATATATATGAAAAACATTTCATTTGGCTAGAGAAGGAAAACAGTTACACTCAAACAACTGTTAACAGGAGTAAAAATTGTCATAACCTTTGTGGGTAAGTTGGTAATATGTCACAATCTGGTACATGCTTACTGTTTGACCCAGCTATAATTTGCCCTATAAGCACACTTGCAGAAATGCCCAAGATAGACTGTGTGTGCAAGGGAAGTTCACTGCAGCATTGTTTAGAAGTGTGGAAGTGGAAAGCAAAGTAATAGTAAGTCACTAGGGCCTGACTCAGTATATTACAGTCCTTCACAGTGGAATACCACGCAGCTCTTTGTAAGGATGAGATGAATAGTATTTACCAACATGAAAAAATATCCTTAATGGCAAATAAGACCTGTGTTTCAAAACAAGAGTAGAATCCACTTATATGGGAAAAGCATAGATGTACCTGTGATTGGATAGATGTATAAAAACATAGAAAATGGGTGGCACCTGTGGCTCAGCGGGTAGGGCACCGGCCCCATATGGTGGTGGGTTCAAACCCAGCCAGGGCCAAACTGCAACAAAAAAATAGCTGGGTATTGTGGTGGGTGCCTGTAGTCCCAGCTACTCGGGCGGCTGAGGCAAGAGAATTGCCTAAGCTCAGGAGTTGGAGGTTGCTGTGAGCTGTGATGCCATGGCACTCTACCAAGGGCAATAAAGTAAGACTCTGTCTCTTAAAAAAATAAGCAAATACATAAATAAATAAATAAAAACATAGAAAATGCTTAGAACGCTACATACCACATGTCAAACTCGATTTCTCTGTGGGGAATAGGAATGTTATAGGAAGGTGACTTCTATTTTATATACTTTTTTCTTTCCTTTTTCTAAGCAAGCCTATACTTTGTATTTTTCAAAAAGTAATGATTATATTATAAAGAAATATACTATGCTAATTTTAAATTCCTATACTTACATGCCCCTGTGTTTAAGAAAAAAACCAAATTCCACCTTTTCTTTTTCATTATTTTATGTTTCAACTTCAACCAGCCAACACAAACAACTTGGGGATTTCTCACGAATTTAAACAACTTGGAGATTTTTCTGTAGCCCAGTGACCCCTTCAGTGTTTGGTAATTCTTTTTTTTTTT